CAGTGTCCAGCAGATTGGTGAGAACTCACTGCCTGAGCAGTCATTTGAAGATCTCAGAGCCTCAGGGGTGGAGGCTGTGACAGGTCTGTGCCTGCACCTCTGTACCTCTGCTTGGATCCCCTCCCCAGCCCGTGCTGGGGTCACACCTGGTAGGAGTAGGTGCCCAGGCAAGCACGGCACGCCGTCCTTCACTGGACATTTGTTAGGGGGCTTTCTCTGTGCCGCTCTGAGGTCTCAGAGACCCTCACCACCAGTCTCTGGCATCCTCTTGTCTGAGAAGACAGACAGACACTGGTGTCAAGAGTCTCCCTTCTTTGTTATCAGCCACTGTCACATACCCCACCTGCCCCTGGTAGCAGTAGCCTGCCCTTTCTGTGGTGATCTTGCTTTCTCTTCCCTTCCTCAGGACTCCCAGATGCCCTCTTGCCTTTTTGGGCATCTTCACCCCTTCTTCACCATGGGTCATTTGATTATAAGCCAAATTTCCTGTAAGCAAGAAGAAATAAGAATTTTCTGGTGGTTGTGTTTTTCCTGAGGAACAGGTGTTCTTAATGTAGGGATCTGTGGGTAGAATTTGAAGATGGGGGGAAAGGGGGATGAACTTTTTGCTTTGTTTTTTAGACCTGTGTATTTCATTTTATCCATTTAAAAAACTTTCCTGAGAAGGGGTCCGTAGAGTTAACATAACACAGAGTTAAGAAGCCCTGCTTTAGATCTAGAGGGTTGGGACCAAGGAAAATTGGAGTGAGACCTCTAACTTTGGGCAGCTGCTGAAATTCACTGCTTTTCCTGTGCCTCCTAAGTCAAGGCTCCTGGGGTCACATTGACATCATTGCTGGCTAGGAGGAAGGGAAATTTCCCTGGGTGGTGCTGCTATTGGGACTTTGAGCTGAGGCAAGTAGCCCAGCTTCAGAACCTTGGAACCCTGACAACCGGCTCAGAGCAGCCATCAGGTTGTCCTCCCCCCGAATGCCTGAGTACTGCAAGCTCAAAACAGTGAAGTCCCCCGTGCAAGTTCAATTCTGTGTGAGGCCACATGTCACAATGGCAACACTATCCAACTTGGAAATCAGCATCCTAACCTCACGGAGCCTCAGTTTCCCCACCTATGAAGTAAGGCTCATCTAGCTCTGGCATTGTGGGCAGGGACGGAGGAAAGCCTTGGTTCTTCTGGGGCCCAGGCTCTCCCACAATCCTGTTGACTTTTTCTTTCTGTTTTTCAGGAAAAAAGCTTGTAAATACTTTGAGCAAGGCAAAGGGACCTGCCCATTTGGAAGCAAATGCCTTTACCGCCATGCTTACCCTGACGGGCGGCTGGCAGAGCCTGAGAAACCTCGGAAGCAGCTCAGTTCTGAGGGCACTGTGAGGGTAAGGACTTTGATGTCTCTGTCAAGGACACTTACACGGTGGCATTTCCGGGTACTGGTGCTTTCCCTAATAGCTTTGGTACCAGGGAACGGGGTGAGCAAAAGAAAAACAGCATCTGGCCTTCACGTTACCACTAATAACCACCAGGCATGTTTGCTGGCTCTTTTTGCAGTTCTTTAATTCAGTGCGACTCTGGGATTTCATTGAGAACCGAGAAAGCCGGCATGTCCCCAATACTGAAGACGTTGACATGACAGAGCTTGGGGACCTCTTCATGCACCTGTCTGGAGTGGAGTCGTCAGAACCCTAAGGAGTAGCCAGTTACCCCTGTACCTTGGGCTCTGCCGGCCAAGCCTTCCCAAGCTAGGGCGTGCGGAGCTTCCTTCACTGCAGCCTGAGCTGCACCTGACCTTGGTCTCATCCACTCCATTATTACAGCCGTGGGAGAAGTGAAGGATATAAAATAGCCCAACAAGTATATGGAATCGCTGCTTTTATAGTTGATCTCTTTAGTTGCATCTCAAGCTCCTCAGAGGGACCAGCTGACCAGCCAGATGGGAGTTTTGATTGATTGCTTTTAAAAACAACCTGGCTCCTATCCTTGAGCTTTAGCTCCCTAGAAACAGTCACCGTGCAGATTCGTTTTTCTTAACCAAGTATTCCTCACCCTTATAAAACGATTCCTCTCTAGTCGATTTCCCTAGTGTACTTAGTGTGTAGTCAAAACTGTTTCTTGAAAAGCTCTGTATAAATCAAGGGGGCACCACACACCTTAGCCTAAAACTTGTGCTCTTCAGTGTCCCAAATCAGAGCAGGAGTCCCGCTGCCGTGTGTTCAATAAATTCCCTGTAAGGAGGGGGCTCTTGAAGTAGCAGGCAGTGTAGGGCAGAGGTATGGCCCCTCGTTTCTGGTTGGTGTTGGGGCCACATGCTCCAGGGAAACACGTCCCCGGCTGTCACCGGTGGGCTTTCCTGGGGCTCTCTTTGGGCTCATGCCCCAAGGGTAGTTTTACTGAGGGTCAACACACACATGCTCTTCCGTGTGGCCCCTGCTCAAAGCCACGTGTTCTGTCTGTAAGCCTGGCTTTGATTTGAACTTTTAGTAAGAAATGAAATGGCACGCAGCAGTTTCTGGTTCTGACCCAGCAGTGGTCCTGAACAGAACAAGTCCTCTGTCATCAGTTGTGACTTTAATTGAAGGAACATAACTTTGTGAATCAGAACAAATTCACCCCAGGCCTGAATTAATCTATTTTTATAAATAGGTATAGATACCAAATATTTTATAAAATGCATTAAAGTGTAGGTAGAAAAAGGTTTACTCTTACCTGAGTTTAGAATGCTTGCTTTTTCCATTTTTTATAGTTAACTCTTTAGTGAAGGGTGACAGCACAAAGACTGAATTAGATTCCTTCGCAGCAGAGGCTCTGGGCCTGTTTCCTGCTGGTTGAGTTCTTGCTCCAGGAGGGATGAACAAATGGGAGAGTTTAAGCTGTAAGCTCAGTATTTAAAAGGAAGAAACAGCCATTAAACCTACATTTAATTTATTTTATTAAAATAACATAATTGAACCATCAGATAACTGTATTTTGTCAGGCGCAATAAAAACAAAATTAAAACCCAAATCATCAAGAAAACCTGTATTCCTGGCTTCCTTGCATACACGTGATGTGACTGAAGAGAAAGGCTGGCCCGGCGGCCCCGCCCCATAGGGGCAGCTCCTGGAAGACAGATTCAGCATGATGGAAGACTGCTCCCTGAGAGAGCGGAGACTGGGAGGGGCAGGCCAAACGCCTCTTCGGAAAACCGTCCCAATGCACTGGAGACCTCCAAGGAAAGGAAGTGCCCCCAAAGTCAAGGTCCATAGTTCCATAGTACCAACGCAGGTTCCTTCAGGCGGCCGTCGTCTCGACAGTCCTGGGCTGTTTGGTGCGTTATGTGCAAAACTACCTGTTTGGCGCCATACCACTAACTCTGAAGAACGGTCCTTCCGTGACAAGCATTCCACATAGGAGCTGATGCCCCATATCCACATGTCCACGTCAGGGCTGGTTTGTCTGCTACCTTCATTTCCCCTCTGAGTGCTTTTTCTTGCCCTAAAAATACTCATTTAGCCAATAGCTGGGGCCCCAGATCATGTATTGCCAACTGTAGCCACTGGTGCATCTGGAGAAGGCTTGGCTCATGAGCGTGGGGGGGGTGGGGGGGGTGGAGAGATGCAGGGAGGGAGCAGGACAAACCAGCATTGCAAATGGCTTCCCTCTCCCAGGGCCAGAAAGGGTAGAAAAGAAGGCAACATGAAGTTAAGGCCCTGTGAGTAGTCTAGAAGGTCCTTAGCAGCAGCTTCTCTGAAAATGAGCTCTCTGCCTCCATCAAAAGGGAGGAGAAAGGTGGTGCCTGCTGACTTCCCTTCCTCCCCTGGTGGCCTGAGTGCAGGTGCAAAGTCAGCTAGAAGACAGGCAGTCTAGGGGATGTGGTCAACGTGCAGGCGTTGATATCCTCAGTGTGGGCCGCCCGGTGCAGGGATGGCTCAGAAGCACTCCGGTTGATTTTCGGCAGAGAGTGTTGGAGAAGCTCGATGGAAGACAGGATCTAAAATGAAGCAGTGTCATTAGGTGGGTTTGGTGTCACAGCAGAAGCAGCAGCAGCAGCTCTCAGTGAGGAGTCCAAACACGGGCCCTTGTCCCCACCCCACCTGCAGCATCTGGTGCAGAACACGAGCCCTGTCCTATAGAAAACCCACACCTCCCTCCTCATTTCTGTCATTAGGAATTTCTGCTGGAATCCGTTCCCACCCCCTGAGCTGAGTCTTACCTGGGGAAAAAGAGGCCTCTCTTCCTTAACCTTCTTCACACAGTCAGCTACAAGCCTCTTCATTGCTTTGGGGCAGTTCTTATATAGCTTACTGAGGTCTGGGGAGGCATATCCTCGGCCCACCATGAAGATGATCTAAGAGGAAGGAAACCGTTGAGGGACTGGGTGGAGGCACAACAGAGACAGCAACTTCTGAACCTCCTGCTCACACTGGCAGGAGGCCCAGGGCCTTCCACAGCTGAATCTGGATCCGCAGCAGCCAGCAACAGTGCACATACCTGGTCGCGGTTATTGATGTGGGAGTAAGGAAGCTCCCCTGTCATGAGCTCATAGAGCACAATGCCGTAGGAGTAGACATCAGACTGGAAGCTGAATGGGTTATTATCCTGCATTCGGATCACCTCGGGGGCCTACAGGGACAAAATGCATTCATTCATCACCATGTGGGCCCCACAGACATCCAGATGCCAGGCTGTCCCTTCCCCTGGATATAAGACAGTCCTTTCCTCAGTTCTGCACCTCTTCCCCACTCGGGTTCACACAAGCTCGGGAAGCCTAGTCTCTGGTACCCAGCACCTATGCCTCAGTATGGTTCTGATCGCTAGCTTCCAGAAAACCCAAATTTGCCTCAGGCTGTCTGACGTCACTGAAGGCCTCACTGAGGTATCTGGACTTCCAGGAAAATGTCGAGAAATGTAAGTATACACACAGACCTCTGGGGTACCCCTTCCACCTGCACTCTGCTAGGGGGAGCCTCGCCTCCTCACCATCCACAGGACAGAGCCAGTGGGTTGTTCGACCTGCTGAGAACCGCTCCAGCGCGACTTTACTGTTGCCAAACCAAAATCTCCAATTTTCACCGTCAGGCCTTCATGGAGAAATATATCTCAATGCTTGTTAAGGACTCTGGTTTCAAAAGAACGGTCAAGTTAATTTTATTTTTTTAAAGTTTTTTTTTTTCAACGTTTATTTATTTTTGGGACAGAGAGAGACAGAGCATGAACGGGAGAGGGGCAGAGAGAGAGGGAGACTCAGAATCGGAAACAGGCTCCAGGCTCTGAGCCATCAGCCCAGAGCCTGACGCGGGGCTCGAACTCACGGACCACGAGATCGTGACCTGGCTGAAGTCGGACACTTAACCGACTGCGCCACCCAGGCGCCCCGAGGTCAAGTTAATTTTAAACCACTTCCCAAAGGTCTGAAGAGCAGACCATCTCTCTGCTCTGCACCCCGCCCCTCCCCTCCCCTCTGACTGCCCCAGCCTCCTTTGCACTGATTTGCTTGGATTTCTACAGTTTTAAAAAGTGCTTCCAAACTGCCTTTCTTCCATGAGGCATGTAGCAGTTGCTCAGGGCGGCAGATTATTTGGCTCCAGCCAAAAATCAGGCTATTTCCCCCTGCTGCTTCTCCCCATTTACACATCTAGGTGCCAGGTCCCTGGCCTTCTGACCTTCCCATGTAACAAGGGAATCTTAAACCCGAAGATTTCTCCGAGAACAGGCTGCCATCTGCAGCTTCTTACCAGAAGCCAAGTGTGATGGCTTACATTGGTTTCTGCCTGCTGTGTGCCCTCAAATGACAAACGTGTGAATAACAATTCAGCATTCACTAAGCACTGAATGCTGTCCAAAGAAATCTCTCACTAAAATAGGTACCACTTGGTGACTTCACATCAGGACCAAACTCCCCTCATTTCTGGGTAAAGAGGTCAGGCACAAGGTAACTTGTGATCTGCCAATGCCCAGTAATACATACCACCATCAAATCTGTGGTGTCTGCTTTCATGGCATAACGTATCACTCCCAAAAACCGTTAAAAGGTATCTCATAGGGGCGCTTGGGTGGCTCAGTCAGTCAAACGTCTGACTTCGGCTCAGGTCACGATCTCACGGTTCCCATGAGCTCGAGTCCCATGTCAGGCTCTGTGCTGACAGCTCAGAGCCTGGAGCCTGCTTCCGATCCTGGGTCTCCCTCTCTCTCTGCCCCTTCGCCGCTTGTGTTCTCTTTCAGTCTCTCAAAAATGAATGTTAAAAAAAAAAGTATCTCATGCCTCAGACATGTGGCCCAAATAGGCCATGTCCCATAATCCAACTCAACACAACTGTAGTGCCTCTCACTGGCCAAGAAGCAGAGCAAGGCTGTAACGCTACACACTCCTCTCCAAGACACAGGCTGCAGGTGGGAGGCAGATGTATAAAGGTTACGTTTCCTGCCCCACAGCATGAAAACTCTCCAGTCTTTATTCCCCTTCTATAAAAACATACTAAGTCTCAGAAAGAGGAAGGGCTGGTTCCAACAGTGAGTGACCTAGTGAGCGCTTTGACAATCTTGCAACATCTGGCCTTCAGCTCCCTTCTGACCAGACACACATGGTCCACACGCTAGAGATGAACATGACAGACAAAAGCCCCATTCCTCCAAGCTAAATTTAGTAACAAACAGCATAATAAAACTTGCAAGCATAACTCAAACACCTATCTCCTGTGGAAAACTTTCCAAAATCACTTTTACTGAGATCAGCTTTAAAAAGTTTCTCTTCGGTTTTTCTAAATTTAGAAATGAAATAACCATCAAAGGATACTGTTGGATTTCATGTCTCTGTGGATGATATTCTTTGCATGCAAATAGCTGTGAAGGGAAAAAATCTATTAAAACCAGTTATCTAAGAGACATGGGTAGAAAGCAGCTTCACATGACAGCTAGGAAGGAAGCCACCTGGCCGCCTGATGCCCAACGAGGGCTACATGCAGGAACTGGTGGTGTGCGGATGCAGGCCAGGCCACATTGCGTGTTACCCGGAGGTGAGGTCATAGCACAAATGGGACGACTCTTTAAGCATCAGTTCTACTCAAAAAGTAATTCTGACAACCTGAATGTCCATCAACTAATGAATGCATAAATGAAACATGGCCCACCCGTACAAACGCAGTCTTATTCGGCTACAGAAAGAATAAAGTGATACGTGCTACAATGTGGATGAACCCCTCAAAACTGTTAGGGTAAGTCGAGTCAGACACAAAAGACCTCATTTTCTATCTTGACGATTGTTCTAAAATTACACATTCAGTCTACACAACTCTGAATGTACTAAAAAACCAGAGTTGTACACATTTAAAGGGTGAATTTTATAATCTGTGGATTATATCTATAATTTTTTTCTAAAAGGTAATTCTATTTCTTAATTCCGTATGGATTTTAAAAAGCAGAACACGAGATTTTACATGGCACCTGCAAGCGCCGCTTTAGCTTACGCCTCCAGACATGTAGTGCTATGAGTTCTCACTCTCCCACTAAGGGATAAATTAGAGGAAAAGTGTGACACACACACACACACACACACCCCACACGCCACAACCCCCTTTGACAGATGTGTTCAAGCAGAGATTCAAACAGGTAGTGTTTCATGGAGGCACAAGGGAGGACTTTTCAGCTTTCCCTAAAAGGAAAATAAATTATCCAAAAACATCCGCTCAGACCCTCGTGTGCAACAAGCACGCTGCGCATGGGCCACACCTGAGACCACACACTTGTAGAGGGCAGTGCACGGCTGTCTGGGCAGAAGGTACTGAGCCCACACTACTGAGCTCTTGGGGGTCTGGGTGAATTCTCAGGGAAGTGGTTTCAACCTGAATCTGAGCCTCTAGGGGAGCAGCCTCAGCTCAGACGAAGAACCTGGAGCTCTCATTCCTTCAGCCCACACCAGAGGCTGACTTTCAGCTGTGCAACATCACAGAAATCACGTAGGAGACTTGGCTTTTTGCTAACCCAGGTTCCGATTCAGGGCAGGTTGATACCTGGACCCCCGACTTTCTAGTCAACAAGCCATCTACTCACTCCATTCCCTGAGCAGTCTGGCGGGCGATGTCAATCAACTGGAACATCTGGAACTTAGTCTCCTGGACATGCAGGTGTTTGTAGAGGCTGCTGCCCTCGCACCACTGGGTCACAATTGCCAGGTTGTCCTTTGTCATGTAGCCCATGAAGAGCAGGATGTTCACGTGCCGTGTTTTGCTGGAGAAGGGAGGAGAAAAAAGTCTCTGAATTCTCTGAATCTTCTGTTGCTGCGGAACAGAGATGTACTCTGCTTTCCCACCGACACGGGATCCTGAGTGTCTTCAATGCCACCATGCTTACAATCTGGGTGGTTGGCAAAGCACACACAAGCCTGCTGATAACTGAGTTGGGGTTGTGACAAAGGACCCCTCAGTGCTAGCCTTCAGAGAGAGGACATTCTCATTGTACATGATTCCTCCCACAGGGGGTCACAAGGAACCCTCGTCTGGGGAATCCATCATTATTCACCTTATTCCTATAGGTCTAAACAATGACTCAAAGGTTTTGAAGTCCAAAAGGAAGCAAATTGGCTATAAAGAGTTCTTGGAAATAAACGTGAAAATAGAACCTATTTCTCACTATCTCAAACCAGAACCCAGACAAGAACCTGGGCTACTGTGTGTGGTGGGCCCAGAGACCTGAAGCAGTAGAGGGGGGCATGCTCATCAAAGAGGGCTCTTCTAAAGGTCTGACAACCCCGTAAGCTGGAAGGAAACCTCCCATGCATTCCCTTTCACTTGTAAGGAAGGAGTTTTCACGGCAAGACTCTGCAGTGAACACTCACTAACCACCAGTCCTGGCCATAGGCCCTCAGAGACAGGTCTGTGCCATGCTGCCCGCTTATCTGCAGTTGACACACCACCACCCACACCCGTCCCCTGCAGCTCCAGAGAGGCCGGAAAGGCTAGCTTTCTACTCACCGTAGGACAGCCACCTCATTCCTGAAGGCCTGGAACTGCTCTGGCGTGGGGTCGACAACTTTTAGAATTTTCACTGCAACATCTCCTGCAAATTATAGTCAGTACGATCAGCTGAATGAGCTTACTTTGTTATTTTTCACATACCCTAGTCCTGAGAAAGAGTGAATCACTTATTCAGATATCATGTGCCTACACAAGTGGAATAGGCAAATTTCCAAATTATTCAAGTACTTGAAAAAAGTTAAGTATATTATACTACTATCCTTTAAATACCACCACACACGCCTTGAATATGGGTTTGGTTTAAACTCTTCCTATCAAGCCTGGCATCCCCAGTGTGACTGGGGAATAGGTGAAAACCTGGGCCTGTGAGGGCCGCACTGGCAGGTGAACTGGAATGGCCGGCAGATACAGGAGTTTTGGGGCCAGAAGGCTGGTGCCAGCAAACAGGCCATTTGGCAAGCAGTTGATGCCAAACACAGCAGCCACATTCTAATGACACCCGAGATGGTCCCTTGTACACAAAGATACATATCGAAATTAAGCTTCTTTGCCTTTAATACCATGAAGAAGCAATCCTAATGATTAATATCGATTGCTTACTACGCCCTTGCGCCACATGTGCCTTCACAGGCATTGTCACCTTTAATCCTCATAGTTGCCCTGTGATGTAAATACTGTTATCCTCATTTTACAGGGAACAGAGAAGCGTAGTCAACTCTCCAACGTCATTTAACCAAAACACAAAAGTGCTGGAGCCAGGATTAGAATGCCAGTCTGACTCCAATGGCTGCCCTTCTAACTTCCATACTGACAACAGACTGTCAATCACTATGAGCCTCTTTACTTAACTTTAGAAACATCCAGAGATTAACTCTACTTTATATGTGCTACTGATTTAGAAGGCACTTTCAGAAATGTTTCTACACTATAATGGTCATTTTAATAAATTACATGAAGCCCTATTAGGACCTCAGATTTTCTTGGCAAATGAATTTATCAAAACATAGCCTTCTGGGTAGCTCTTTCTGCCCACGCGTCCTGTCCCTGTGCTTTAATAAAGTCACCTTAAAAACAAACAAAACCATAGCCTTCTGGTGATCAAATAAAGGAGCTGGTTGATGGCACCTTGGAGGTAACAGAATTCCTCCACTTATCAAGCATGCCCCCTTGGCAGCAGCCCTGTGCAGCCTCTGTGGGAGCATTCCTCACTTCACTGGAGTACCAACTGGTAAGGACATGGGTTTTAAAAAAATATCTTTTTTTTTTAATTTGAAAGAGGGCACACATGCAAGCAAGCGGGAAGGGGGTGGGGGGGGGGGGGCTCAATCCCACAACCCTGGGATCATGACATGAGCCAAAATCAAGACTCAGACACTCAACCAACTGAGCCACCCAGGCGCCCCAAAGAGATGGTTCTTATGGCAGGTCCCGAACTGTTGTCCTGTCGTCATCTCTGGTTTTATCATCCAAAGCTAAAGTCCCCACCTAACAGTAGGGGCTCGTCCACTTCACTGGCACATGTATTTCCCGAGGACCCAGGGCTGCCTCTTGGGAGACGCATTCTGCAGTCACAGCTGCCTTCTCTCCAGGAAGATGGAGCTGGTAAACCATGCAGCTCCATTTAAGCTCCTTATGACTGAGGAGGAGGATAAGAGTCTCCTGCAGAACTGCTCATTCTGGAGCAGTCTGAGCCAAGATAAGAATGCTGGGCGTGAGGGACAAAGACAAAATCTGT